TTTTTGATCAAAGAAAACGAATTTTCTGACCAATCCGGAGCATCAGATTTACCCTTCCCCCGCCCCCAACACACAAAAAATATTTATTCACAAGCAAGCACTAGGTTCCGATCTCTAGGTCTTCGACTGGATCTTCGAGCGAGATAATGCCGTCCGAGTTTCAGGATTCGAATTCATTCTCTTCTCAGTGGAATGAATGAGTTCAATAGAAGAATGCAGAGTTTACTGTCTAAAGATAAAGAATAAATTATGAAATACCTTGAGCATTCGGATAGCGCCCATACCACTTCCGTGCATCATCGAGGTACCAGTCGGTCGTGTGAGTCTTCATCTTTAGGCGAAACTGTAGTTCCTGACAAAAGGTACAAATTACAGTAGGTAAAGGAAGCAACTAACCTCCTGTGTATTAGGAACCAACATCCAACCAAGCTAGTTCCTGCTTTCCCCAGCTCTGACTATCTGGGAAGAAATCTGGAAGCAAAATGAGTAATGTGACTCAAGAAATAGAAACTCACACCTCCAAATATTTTTTCGATAGGCTCGTATGTACAACCATGTAATGATGCAAGAGATTTCGTTCTATTCAAGATAGGATTCTCTCAGAAACACAGAATATCCATTTCCGACGACTTGGCCAGACCTGAAATGACAATTTAAGAACCACGGCCACTTTTCGAGATTCCTACCGAATTTCTTCTCGAGAAACCCGAAATCGTCATCGCGAGAGTAACCTATGCATGGACTGAACAAAATAAAACTTAGCATCAACAAACTAACGGACTAACCGACTCAATGGGGCAACACGCTTCCTTGCTTCCTGATTATTCTGAACAACCTAAGACTAGGAACATGTTTTCCTGGAAGTACTATCAGTGAAGAAGGACAGAGAATGGAAAGACAAACCTCCAACATACAACTTTTTGGATTTATTTCGGAATATCGTTCCAGACAATGTACTGTCGGTGAGACTAAAAGCATTTCCAATCTTCTACTTCCTCGCTTTCTGAGTTCATGGTAGTCACTAGGTAATTATTTGAGATAGCGGGAAATATCTGAAATGACAATGTCTGGATCCTGGCTACCTTGTCGAGACTTCTACCAAACGTCTTCCTCACTGGGCACAACCATTGACGTTCCACCTGTTGAGGAACCCAGAATCATCGTCACATCAAGTGATATCCTTTTAAGGAAAAATCAAATTCGTCGTCGTAGTACCTATCAACAAACTGAATAAAGAAATAAATGAAACAAATAAAAATAAAAATAAAATGAAAATTAGCATAATCAAATTAATTTCGAAAACATGTGGGCGTGACCGAAAAGCTTTGTGCAATTACAGTAACTTACGAGAGATCACGTATATCAGTTATGATTAGAGCACAAGTGAATGAGATCAATTGTCATTGGGTCAACCAAACCTTAAATGTGGTAGCAACTTGTTCCGATACTATTGAAGGATCTCTGGATAGCTCGTCGTCGATGGGAGACTTCATTTCGTCTTCAGGAATACACTCAGGAATTTCTCTCTTGATTAAAATAGAAATTTCTTCATTGATCAGCTGTTCATTCAAATATTTAAATTAAAATTTATCTTTTGATCTGTTATTATATATGTTAATTAAAAAACAAATACCCGAATTG